CCTCAGTGAGAATAATACACAGGAGTATGGGAATTGTTAAGCGGGCCATACACCTTACAATTATCTGCAGATTTTCGGTGGTCAGATGGAAAAGGTGCAACAGATTCCTCCATCTACACATAATGGTGTGAATGGAGTAATCTCCACCTGGGCCAATCTGTTGCACTTTCTCCAACTGACCACAATAAATCTGCAGATAATTGTAAGGTGTATGGGCACTTTTAAAGACTCACACACACATGGGTTGAACTAGAAGGACCTGTGTATTTTCTCAACCTCATCATCTATGTAACCATGTCACTATTTTATTTTGAACACAGTTCCCTGTGGCTGCAAAGGTAAATTATATTTTACAAGCAAGAAAGGAGCCACCTCATCAACACAAAAGATAGCCAGACGTGTTCAGTTGAAGAGTAGGGATGGTCCCAATGTTCGAGTCGACCAACAGTTCGGTGTTCGGCAAACACAAGAACTATCAGGGCGTTCGGCTGGCCCACCAGCACAAGGACAAGGTGCTTTTCCAGGGGCGACTGTGGCCTGGTATAGGGGGGAGGGGCGCTCGCTCGTCCGTCCCCCCCTTTCCTGCCCTGCCAGACATGTGCTCGGATCAAAGGTCTGGTTAGGAATTTTAGGGGGGACCCCATGTTTTTCCCCCCATTTTGGGGGGTGGGGTTCCTCCTTAAAAAACGGCTTTTTTTTTTAACCACCCTTCCCATCCAGGTCATTTTTCAGTATTCAGCGCTGAGGTACTTTGACTGACATTTATTCCGTCATGCAACGCTGTACTGAAATTAATTTTATACCATTTTTTTGGGACAGATAGAGCTTTCTGTTGGTGGTATTTAATCGCCACTTTTATTTTTCACTATATTAAGGAAAAATTACCTAAATCTTTTTTTTTTTAAACTGTTTCCCCTATATTAAATGATAAAACATTTATTATTACCCAATTTTTTGGTAAAATATAAAAGACGTGGTCACGTCGGGTAAAAAGAAACCAAACATGTCAAGCCTTAAAATTGCGTGCGTGCGCGAAACCTCAAAAAACTATAATACCCAAAATTGGCCATAGGCGACGCTTTAAAAGCTTTTACCGCTCATCGGTTTAGTGTTATCAGTGATTCATGGCCCTAAAATGATTGCTCTGACTGCGACGTTCGCAGCGATATGTAACATGTGTAGCACAATTGTTGTTTGTGCGTAAATGTGGGGGTGGGGAGCTTAAAAATTTTTGGGGGGGTTTTACTTTTTTTTATATGTGACTTATTTTTTTTCGGAACGGGTTTTTTCTGCCCGTGCGCGCATGCTAGGGGGCGCACGAATGCAGAAAAAAAATGCCGTCTAGTAACAGCAACCCGCCAATGTGAGTCCGCTGTCCGTCCATTTTTTTGCAATGGGTGGACAGCAAGTGGTTAAATGGGGTCCCTCCTAAAATTCCTACCAGACCTTAAGGGTCTGGTATGACTTTTGGGGGGGACCCCACGCTTTTTTTTTTAAATGGGGTCCCTCCTAAATTTCCTACCAGAAAGTTGTTTAAGGAGGGGGAACTGCACGTTTTTTTTTTTCCTTATAAATATAATTTTTCCTGCAGCAGGTTCTATACATTGTACAGATGTGACACTTTACAGGCAGTTTAAGGGGGCCCCCAGGCACAATATTTAAAGGAATTTTTATTGTTTCACTTTAAGCAATGATAAAATCACTGCTCCTTTAAAACAGGTATTTTTTAAAGTGTTTTTTTTATTGATACATGTCCCCCAGGTCAGTACCCCAATCCCCATACCCATTTTATGGACAATAACGTGCATATAAGCCTTTACAAAGGGGACATTTGATTTTCTGAGTTCTGGTCGCATAGACTTTCACTGAGTTCGAGTTCAAACTTTTTCCATGTTCTAAAGTTGGACCTCGAACTGAACTCAGGTGTGTTCAAACTATCACTATTGAAGAGGAACTGTAGAAGCTGTGTCCCTTTGTTCTGAGTCCAAACAGGTAGTTAGGAGCTTACTGTGTTTCTGGCAGGTATTTTCATGTACTTGCAGCTGTTTTAAATGGAAAAAGCATGGAGGAAGGGACACGTATTTCAGAGATGTACTAAGTATGTTTTTATTTTGCCCTGACCTATATTTTAACCGCTTGAAGACCAGGTGTTTAGATCCCCTTCCTGGCCAGGCCATTTTTCAGTGCTCAGCGCTGCAGTACTTTGACTGACATTTATTCCGTCATGCAATGCTGTACTGAAATGAATTTTATACCATTTTTTGGGGGACAGATAGAGCTTTATTTTGGTGGTATTTAATCACCACTGGGGTTTTATTTTTTACTATATTCAGGAGAAATTACTGAAAATTTTGGGAAAAAAAAGGTTTTTTTTACATTATGTTATAAAACAACTAATATTACCAACTTTTTTGGTAAAATATAAAACTCGGGGTCACGTCGGGTAAATAGACACCAAACATGTCAAGCTTAAAAATTGTGCGCACTCGCAAAATCGCAAAAAGCTAGCATACCCAAAATTGGCCATAGGCGACGCTTTAAAAGCTTTAACCGCTTATCAGTTTAGTGTGGCGGATCGCTTCTATATTAACGGGCATCGCTGCCTGTTTTCAAATAGCAGGGATTTCCCGCTCGCGCACGCCGGATGTAACAGGACGTGTATCCCAGTTAGTTACATCCAAGAAGCTCCCAGCCGGCCGTGTATACACAACGGCTGGCCGGGAGGTAGTTAAGTGATGCTATCCAGGGTTCAGGTGTAGGCATCACCCTAACAGATATAAAGGGCCCTAGCAGGTATTAAAGGTATTTTATCATTTGGCCCTAACAGAGGTATTTTTTAAAGCAGCTTGAAGTTTTTTTTTGTGTTATGCATGTCACACTATCATGGAAAGACACAATAGGCAGCCAGTAACTATGAACATTTATTTACCAGAATATAGATGATCTAGCTAGACACAGAGCATTAAGTGGCTAGATATGTGCCCTGCATCATCCCACAAATATGTAAGGCAGATTCAAAAGGCTTGGTTGGGAAAGTCACAGTCACATGGTTCTTTCAGATTTACAATATTAGGTGGCACCACATTCTAATTCTGTTATTAGCTTATACTTACTGTGTCAAAACCAGTCTTACCACCCTGTCCATGTATCAGGGCCTGGTTTACTGAAGGATGTTGGTTACCTGGCAATGACACAACTAAACATATTGGTTTATTCTTTACTTTACATAAGCCGGATTATATTTACAGGGCACTGACAGTACATGCTACTCTAGACAGAGCCAGTCCATACTGCAAATGGGTCACACTGGCACGTATCCAGCCTTAAGTACAACTCTATCTCATGTACTACTTATTGTTGCTCAAGCCCTGAGAAAGATATCATCTAATTCTCCCGAAATGCGTCCGCTGTATCTGACATTTCCATTCAAACATTTCCTTTGTCTGCAGTCACTGTTTGGGTAATTGACAGCCCAGCTGGGGATTCCCCCCATCATGTTTACCATGGGCGGAGAAATCTGTTTAATCTGCTAGAATCTGTAGAAATCTACTAATGAATGGCCAGCTTTAGTTTCAGGCAATGTTTCCCATTCACTTATACCTAGAGCCGGTGCTGTCACTAGGCAAACCAGGCAGCCGCCTAGGGTGCACAGCTGCATAGGGCACAGCCTTGACCACTCCCCCCCCCCATATATTTCAAATTGCAAGAGCCAATAGCAGGCTGGCTATTGCACCTGCCCACTGAGCAGAAGAGTGGAACTGGGAGATAACTTTCTCTCTCAGGTCTGCTCCTCTGTCTTTTTACCCGACGTGACCCCGTCTTTTATATTTTACCAAAAAATTGGGTAATAATACATGTTTTATCATTTAATATAGGGGAAACTGTTTGTTTTTTTTGAATTTCGGTAATTTTTCCTTAATATAGTAAAAAAATAAAAGCCCCAGTGGTGAATAAATACCACCAAAAGAAAGCTCTATCTGTCCCCAAAAAAGGGTATAAAATTAATTTCAGTACATCGCTGCATGACGGAATAAATGTCAGTCAAAGTACCGCAGCGCTGAATACTGAAAAATGGCCTGGATGGGAAGGGGGTTTAACACCGCGGATGTCAACTGGTTAAAGAAGAACTCCGGGCATGTAAAAAAATGACTCTATGCAGTGGGTTATTTGCTTGTTTTGGTCTAGGAGCTAAAACATAGATATAGTCACCCGAACCTCAATCCCACCTGGCTGCTGCTGGACAGGTGTCCCTCCACTCCGGCTGTGGTATTTCCCTTGGCATCCTCACCTCCAATCCAAGTCAGTGGACTTGCATTAAGCGACAGTGGGGCTTAGACCACTGTAACCCATGGAAGAAGAGGCTGTTGGGACTGACATGACCGAGCATCATGCAATTATATCTTTTTTACACGCTAGACCACAACCAGAACGTAATCCTTTACAGTGCGGGGGTAGCCCCACTGCAAGGGGGTATTTTGTACATGCCAAGGGTTGTTCTTCAACTGAAAAGAGAACTCATTGGTGACTTTGGGCAACTATCTGCTCCCGTTTTGATAAACTCCTCCCAATGACTCACGATCTGAACGTCACTCACAGGAGAACAAAACCGAAAGTTCAAAGTCAAGCCAGCAGACCATAAAGACAAGCCGGCTGTCATGACTGGTCACGCCAGCAGGGGGCGTATGGAATCTTTTTTCTTCCAGATATATAAATATCCCGTCAGCTGTTTTGTATTGTTGAGACATGTCACAACAAGCAGCTGATGGCTTTAGTTATTACGCACTGAGGGTAGCCCCACCTCGACTGTCAGAAGATGTGACAGCTGAAAGTCAGGTGTAGACAGAAGGAAACAGATAGTTGCCTGATGCCAGTGGCAGAGGATTCAGAGGGAACCTGCAGCTGAATGCATTGGAGCTGCGCTGGCTGAAGACCCTCATCTGACTGCAATGGAGAGCAGTAGCAGAGTGTGAGCAGAAAGGGGCGCTACAAGCGGCTCTTATATAGTCATCCCCTAGGAAGGGTCTTTTTGGAGTTCCACTATCATCAGATCATCAATGAAGAATGGCTTCTGAGATAGACAGACTAGCAACTGCAGCAGCCACTGGAAATCTCCAAGTGGTCACTGAGCTATTGAATAACGGAGTAGATCCCAATGCTACGAACTCCCTGGGAAGAACACCTATCCAGGTAAGTGGACCAATTGGGGAGAGTGGATCTATCCTCTATATTAATAGTAACAATGTGATGGAGATTGTATAAAATACCAGTAGGGGGCAGTATGTGCCCAGATTTAGGGTCAGCTTCGCTAGATATGGCGCTGTTTGATATAAGTGCTGAGTGTGGGGGCAATGTATGGGCACAGCTGCTGCAGTAGGAGAGGGCCAGTGTCATGTCTGCCTAGGGTGAGCTATGCTGCTTACACTCCTTCCTCTATGCTCTATACATAGTAAGTTTAAAGTGCATGTATAGCCAAAACATTTTTTTTAAATAGAGTTAAACCCCTGTCAATGAATGTTTTGCTGTCTGTGTACCATTGGGGAGATTTATCTTCATTCCCTGTCCCAGAGATGTACCAGGGAGTTCCAGGTAGCCAATGGCAGATAGCCAATGGCAGGGAAATTCCCCTATCAGACAGCTGTCCCTTAACATTTCCCTCTCCCTACTTGTTCTAAAAAAAAGCTCTTAAGATGTGGATTTCCCCTCATTTTCTTTATGGGTGAGAATGGTCACACAAATCCCCTCCAATGGGACACAGGCAGCAATAAAAACTTTGGGATCGATCTATCTATCTATCTATCTATCTATCTATCTAACTAACTATCCTTCTCTACTCTATCCATGGCTAGAAGAAAAAAAAGATTGTATCTAGAGATACAGTTGTATCTACTAAAGTACAAGAAACAATAGAATGTGGCTCTTGATGCTGATTGGGTGAAAACAGATCAACGATCCAAGTACTTCGTTATTATTATTGTTATTATGTAGATCTACTCCTCTGAAATATAGGGAAATAACCTCTGTAGAGAATAACATAAACAGAGACCTATTTCATTTAGAAAAGCAAAGGATAATAATCACCCGAAACCATGTATTATGTTTATTCTGAACCTATACATGTATGCAGAGAGCTTCTATAATAAAGAAGGACATAGAGCTGGGTATATTCCCCTCCAACCTGGACAATGAAAGCTGTTTTCTTCCAGTGTGTCTAGACACATCTTCATGGATACAATGTTACATCCTCTCTACATTGTAGAATCTTACCCGCTAATTGGGGATATTTCCATGTTAGCACATCACTCGATGCTTGGACAGGATTTTCTAAAGTGTGTTTTTATTCAGGAATTCAAGTTTTAAAAAATAGATACAAATAAAAACAATAAAAAGAACACTGAAACACAAAGTATACCCTGAGCCAATTAAACTGGAGAGAAGAGAAGGGGCGGGGAGGGGGGGGAGGGAGAGGGGAAGAGAAAGAGGGAGAGAGGGAGAGGGGAAGAGAGAGAGAGAGGGGGAGAGAGAGAGAGAAGGGGGGAGAGGAAGAGAGAGATAAATAGATGACAGATAGATTGATGGATAGACTGTGGACTTATTTATTACATTCAGTAAATATTCACTTTGGTGAATCGGTCTATGCCCCTTTATCAGTTAATAACCCTCCGTGGAGGAAACAAATAATCGATTCTTAACTGAAAACCAATGAAAGCGACCAGAGTCGGTTATTACACAATTTCATTACACAATTTGTATAGGAAGGTAAGCCGTAATCACCCGGCTCCAGAAACAACATCACTTTGGAGTAGTGGATAGAGCATGGAATTACAGAATTATAGGTCACGTAGTAATTACCCAGTTTTTTTTTTGAGAACACAAAAATAGTATATATATATATATATATATATATACATATATATATATATATACACACATATAAATACATTATATATATATATCCCCTCCTGTGCTGACCGCACAGCTGTATGCAGCAGCTGTTAATCACAATACCTAACTGATCAAGACAACACATACATGAACATAAGGGATAGTTCACACCAGCCACAGTGCATCCCAGACTGTCAATCTGCTCAGCAGAAGCTGTGATTTGCATGTTACATTGATCCGTTTGGGAAAAAATGCGAAATGTAAATTAAAAATTATTAACACTGCCCGAAAATTGATGTATTTATGACCTGCGTTATACAAGCAATATGCCCACTAGTTAGAGTTTACTAAGACCAAAGCAGACAAAATCTGAAGCAGCTGAGCATGGCAACTAATCAGCTTCTAGCTTTCATTTCCGAACTTTAACTGAACAAGCTGAAGAAAGAAGCTGATTGGTTGCCATAGTCCAGATTCTATCTGCTTCAGTTTTATGAATCCCCCTCCTCAATAGGTTGTCTTGTGGCCTTGGCTGGAGTAAGGTGCTGATTTATGGTGTCCTTTGTGCATAGCCCGTGTGTAATATACAGGCCATGTAGAATTCATGGAATCATGTCATAGTTTTTAACGAATAATACAAAATGCAATGCTTATTTTCTTCTGTTCAGTGTGCCAGTGCAATGGTTCAGCAATTCCGCTAAACTATTATATTTATAGCATCAAAATTCCGTATAGCTTCCTGTATTTTGTTTTTCTCAACTGAAAATAGGAAAAACACAAATAAATAGACGAATTCAATAGGCAACATAAAAAAGACATTCCCCTCTTCATACTCTGAACACTAATAAAACACATACACACCTATGATTCTGAATACACATATTATTATTATTATTATTATAGCAATAATAATAATATTATTAATAATAGTATAGCAATAATAATAACAATAATAGTGGTAGTAGTAATAATAATATTACAGCAATAATAATAATAATATTAATAATAATAATTAATAATAATAGTAGCAATAATAATAATAGTAGCAATAATAATAAAGAAAACATAGATTTGAATTTATCGGTGGTCCAGGACCCATCTAACCCATTAGGGTAACTTCGCACACATATTTTTCCGACCACATCCCAGATTATAAAGATCTTCTGAGGAAGAACAAACTAATGTGTACTTGTCGATCATAAATAATGTATAAGGGTCCAATCAGCCGAAATGATGAAATCCGCACAGCTCCCTTTTGGATCTCATGAATAGGAAATGTCAAATAAGCAGTCATATGTATTTCCTTTCATCAATGACCCACTTTGTATTCCCTCCTATCTTTCTCCTTCATAGTCGAACCTTTTTTTGGTAATTGTTTTCCGAAATTAAAGGTTTGTCAATTTACACAATGCTTGCCATTCTTTCTGGGTTTTTTGTTTTTTTTTTACAACTCCATAAATACTGAATGTGAAATAATATACTAAAGAAAAAAGAGATATCAATGAAAAAACATAAAGATTTCACATTTTCCTATTTTTTATGGTCCAGACCCCTATATGCACAAACTTCTGCCTAAAACCTGCCAGTCAAACATCACTCCCACCATTCATTTAAACACCGAGGTGTCCGTTTTATGGATATAAAGCCTGCTTTATCCCAGTATTTATCATGTTTTCTATGGAGCCGGTGTTCCGTCATTTCCCTGGACCATTGAGATTTCTGGACTTCCAGGGGCGTGTGAATTTCTGGACTCGGAGCGGAGTTTGCGCGAACAGCCACGCCCCCTGTACGCCCAGCACACGCCCCTGGAAGTCCGGAAATCTTACGGGTCCAGAGAAAAAACAGAACACCGGCTTGTTTTACTATTTGATGCTGATTTACGGTGTGCTTCCCGTGTGCAATAAACAGTGTGGAATCATTTGTTGCTTTTCAACCTTATAACAGTCAAAACAATGTTTTTTTTCTTCTGTACACTACTATGGTGTGAGCTACTAGCTTTATATCATCGATTATACTTATAGATGCGTGAGTAATATTGATAGAAATGTACATCATCAGATATAGAGATTGAGCTGTTTGATGAGTAATATACGGTTCAAACAAAACTAGTAGTTAGAATACTGACTAGACTGGAAAATGACTGCAGTGAGTCTTCGTTGGTCACTGGAGTATTCTGACAGGGAAACGCCCAGGGAATTTATCAAAACTGGAGCAGGCAGAATCTGGAGCAGTTGCCCAGGGCAACCAATCAGCTTCTCTCTTCGGTTTGCTCAGTTAAGATTTGAAAATGAAACAGAGAAGCTGATTTGTTGCCGTGCACAACTGCTCCAGTTTTCGTCTGCTCCAGTTTTGATAAATTTCCCCCCCCCCCCCCCCCTACTGCTCTCAGAATACAAAAGCAAAGTGGAGACTGAAGTTAAAAATGACTAGTGTATGGCCAGCATTAGACTTGACAGAGTCTTTGGGTCTTCTTCAACAACTACTTCAACCCTTAGGGCCCTATTACACCATATCCAGTGCGTTCTGGTGCAGTTTCCACCCGAAACACACTGGAACGCATAGATCAAGCTGGGCAGCATTCTGGGGAGGGAGGGGGCATGTCAATGGCACCACAGACACGCCCCCTCCCCCCGCCCGCAACGGAACGCGTGGTACTGGAATGTCCTCGGTTTCTGTTCAGTGCGATCTGAAAAAATTCTGCATGCACTATGTTTGAAGATCGCACTGCACCGGAACATAGGGCATTCCTGTACCTTGCTTTCCGGTGCAGATGAGCACACTGCGGGCAGGGGGCCGTGTCTGCTGTGCCATTGACATGAATGGCACCGCCACGCCCCCTCCCGTCCCAGAACACTGCCCGGCTTGATCTATGCGATCCAGTGCGTTCCAGGCTGGAATCACACCAGAATGCACTGGATATGGTGTGACTGGGCCCTTAGGGCTTGTTCCCACCATGTCTGTACAAGAACAGTTTATTCCTGGACCAAAAAAGCATCCCGATGTATCCCTATTGTATTTTTGGGCTCTGTGCACACCAGCGCAGTCTGGTCCAGACAAGAAAATACTGCTCGTCTCATTTTCTCTGGTCTGGAACACACCGGAATGCATGTAAACACTTTAAAAATGCATGCAAACATACTGGAACACACTGCACTGCACACAAAAGCCCACTTTAGAGTAAAAAGAGCGAGAATGCGAACGCATCAAAAATGCACTACACTGCATTTGCAGATCTGGTCTGGACATGGTGTAAAAATATACTAAAAATGCATTCAAGTATCTGAACTATTAACAAAAATCTTATTTGT